GAAGTGTTGGCACACCTCCAGGCAATAGCACTCTACAGTTCAATTGCTGACCAGCTGATCTCCATTAGAAAAATTTCACCCTTGATAAGGGGAGGCATATTTTGAGCAACATCTTGTTGCAAGATCAGATATGCAAGGCTTACAAATGCAGACTGGAACATGAAGAAGCTTATTCCCACTCCTTAGCCCTCTATGCACTCCCTCACTGCCCCAATGGCGCCAAGGGACACAGACAAGAGAGTGCTCATCAGATCAGACCAGTAAATACTGACAGCCTAGAGATCAGTTTTATAAGCAGTAGGTTCAACAGATAGAAGACTGCCAATCCAAAGCAGCTGGGTCAAAAGCAGCATCAGCTTCCACCACAATTCTGTTTCAGCTCTGGTTTGTATTCAGGTAAGGGCTCACACACCACCCAAGAAACAGCTACCCCACTGCCTGCAGCTCAGCTGGGAGACAGGCTGAATGCTTCCCCCTCCCACAAAGCATGCATGCATCCACTTGGTTTTGTGAGCAGCTGCAAACCATGAGATTTCTCAGTCAGATATTGATAGCTCCTGCAGGGAAGGACAGGCTCTTCAGAGGCAGGTACCTGTTTCGAGAAAGCAGCAGCTCCCTTCCCAGATTTTTCAGCCACAGTTCAGCAAACATCCATCCAAACGCAGGTGGGTAACACGGGTACAGGCAATGCTCTAACAGACTTTCTCCATACCAAGTCGCTATTCCCGAGTATTAAACTTCTCTTGATTAGATAGACAGAGAACAACCACCAGCTCACAGCCATCTGCAAAAGCTGTACCTCGACTCCAAAGGCCTCCCCACTAGCTTCCCAGCCAGCTGGTTCACACAGGCAAGCCCATGCCAGGAAGGACAGAAAAGCAGACTGAAGCTCTCAGTACTTCATACAGCCTGACACATGATGAACCATCACGGCCCTGCTCCTCATATCCCTCCTGCAGGGATGAGCAAGACCCACTCTCAGACATTTCTAACCTCAGAAAACCAACACTACACTGGAGCCCAACATTCAGTCGATGTGCAACATGAGTAATTACCACATCGTGTTTGAAGCCATTCATTTTCTTGAGCTGTCTAGACTAGCAAAGCTCTAGGGTGGGAAAAAGTATTCACTGGAGAGGAAGGGAATATGTTTAGCACCCTAGCTACAGGAAAGGAGGGTTTTCTCCAGCAGCACCCTTCCTACATACTTTCTGAGCCATCCAGAAGTAACTGAACTGTGGATGACAAGTGCCATCGGTATCCCTATCAGTAAGGACAAACCAAAGACTCAGCTGCAAATCCAAGCCTCAGCTCACAAAACTATCAGCCTTTCAACAGACAAGTTACCTACTGTCACTCTCCCCCACCTTTGCTTCCTTTTGTTGTTGCTTTCAAGTCTCACCAGCATCCCCACCCAACCTCTCTCACATTTTCCCAGGCTTGACCTTTCCTGCATCTGCACCATTCCCTGCTCTTTACCCATACGTGCCACCACAAAGCATTCCCCCTACGTGGCAACCCTTACTACCAGGAGCAGCAGAGCAGTCAGTGAGCTGAGACTTGGCACCACATTCCTTGGTACTCCAATTCAGTTTCTACCTCCCTCCCAAGCCCCTGAATCGATGCCAAAGGGAACGCTCCTTCTGGCAGTCAAGTCTCCCAGAAGAAAAGTTACAGCCAAAGTGCTGGGGGCGGGGCCAAGCCAGCCTATTAATAGGTTGATTATAATATGAATTTGGGGAACTACTCCCAAATATGCTTACCCTCCTGGACCTAGGGCCCTCAGGGGTGGAGTGGAATACCTAACTCAGCACTTTCAGCTGCTTTACTATGTTTGGAGCCAGGGAGGGTGGAAAATCCTGTCTGTACCCTGCCTGGCAAAAACACGGTTTTCCAGAAGGGTGGCTGAACTATTGTTTTCTTCCCTTCCCCCCCAGAAAGCCCGTTTTCCTCACACTTACATAGCAGCTCCCTCTGACACATCAGACAAGACCTAGAATTTGAAAGCTTCCACCTTGGATTAAAAAGGTTGATAACAACTTTCCTGCGGAAAATTCAGAGCTACTCCAAGAAGCAACACTGAACAAGCTAAGATGTCTCAAGAGCCTTCTCGCCACCAGCTCCTCAGGAGCACACTGGACTGTTGAGGAAGACAGACTCCATGGACAGCTTGGGAGCAAAACTTTTAAGATATTTGGGAGCATGAAGAAGACAAAAGGCTGGACCGAGGCAGCAAGATTTTGACTGTCCTTGCATGTCTCCACATTCTCCCATCAACAGACCTCCCATTCCAGCCCTTTGCCTCAGCCAGAGAGCCCTCCAGAGGCAGAAGGCAGCTCCCTGTGACCCTGACCGACATTTCCGTAAAGGTCTTGACATGCTTGTCGGTGCAACTTTGCAAAATTATGCTGCAAAAAGTGTGAAAGAGTTCCCAGATTTCTCATGTTTTGCATAAACATCTCGCAATCCTAAGCCTTTCAAAGTTGAAGGAGATGCCAGCAGCACTCACTTCTTATTGGGGCCACTCTGTATCAAGACCAGCAGCTCTTACCATTTACACACAAGTAAATCTCCCTGTTGCTTGTAGAGAGAGAATGAACCCTCTGCTAGTTGGGAGGCACGTGGCCACTGATCACACCTACACAGTTCTACCTTTACATTGGTAAAGATGGAAAGACACACAGGCTTCAGAACATGCGTCAATACACGTTATACTCACCTGTCAGAAACTAAGAAAAAAGCCACACTAGTTTACCATTATTAGACACACTTGACAAGACTCTCCTTTAACACAAGTGACTGAAGCATCTACATGCGACATGGTTTGGATTCAATATGCCACAGAAAATTGCAATCAGCTTGCCAACAAATGAGAAGTTGTTAATTTTTCATACACTCAGATTTTACCCTAGGTTTTACAACTCTTTGCTGCCCTCGCATCACCCAAGGCATTTCAAAACCTTGCTGCAAAGAGAAAATTGGAAAGAACACCATTTCTAACACGTGTGTTATTAAATATTTAGGCCTTGATTCTTGACCAAATTCTTTGCCTCCAATGGCAAGGTTACCTATATGGTTAAAGCCAGGCATGCAGACTTTGGCAGGCGTATGATCTTAACTTCTCTGAACACAAACCCACAATCTACCACCAAGCAACCGGCAAACGCTCTCAAACCAAACCTGCACACTCTGCGTGTGTATACAGGCATATACATACATGTACTGAATTGTCTGTGCAGAATTCACTTCAGAGACAACTGCCCCAGCACACCAAGGCACAAAGCTGTGGCACAGGGGAACTCTTTGGTAGTCATGTCTTCATCTCCCTAGTCTTAAAGGCTACGCTGGATCCATCATGTATCACAGAGGAATTTTTAAGTTAAAAAAATACATAGATACTGGTTTCACAAGCAAACCAGCAGAGATTAGTTCATTATTTTAAACCCTGAATGTGACCTTTCACTAAGTCAATGGGAGCACTTCCATTACAGAAGAGGGGCTCTCCTTCACATTTTACAGAGAAGGAAGATAATAGAGTCCAGACCTAGCTCACCTAAAAGGCCTTGAATTCTTCCATTAAGCCAGAACAACATCCAGACTTGAGCTTCAACCACTAAATCTGCTTCAAAGCAATTCCATTGCTAAGCTAATAGCTGCAGGAGACTGTTCCTACACCCACTTAAACCAGCAGACACTAATCTCTCTATCTGCAATAGATAGGCATGCCACAGGGGTCTGGACAGGATAAGCAGAACAGATGTTTAAGTGCACATACAAGAATCATCTTCAGAGCTCAGCTGCTGCTTCACAGGGTACAGGAACTAAGAGATTGCTGAAGAGCTTCACAGGACATGGGAACCAAGGAGACTGAGACACTCGTCCTTTCTTGTACCTTTGCTGAGGGAAGCATTAAACCCAGAAGGAAGGAGCAAGCAGGCATGCATGCATCATGTCTATAGATATTGCACAGCTCCCAAACACTCCCAGACACATCTGTCCCATCAAACTGATCCATACCTATGACAAAAAAAGCATCATGCTGCACAACCAAAAACATCATGCTGCAACTGCCAAAAAAGCACCTACACGTGCCCCAGTACTCGTTAAAAATATTATTCACAAATGCCTGAACTGCTGGAAGACTGTGGCTGCATCAAGGCAACTGCTTCAGCAAAAGGCAACTGCTTCAGCAGTACTAACCGCTATTTCCCTCAAGCCAGCACAAAACTACGGAAAACTGCTGATCTTAGAGAGAAGGAAGGAGCCCCCAGTCACTAGAAGCTGCCTTCAGATGCCACGGTGCAGCTATCTGGCCAAGTCCTTCCAGGCAGCCCCAGCCTGCCACAGCAGCAGGCTTCAGAGCACAAGCATTTCAACCGGCGGCAACAGGCGCACCCAGGACCCAACGGACAGTGCTCGATCCGACCCCAGGGACGTTTAGCCAGGTTACCTGCACAACTCTTGGCTGCACAGGGCAATGAGGACGAATGCATTTTTTCACCAGCACGTTAGGTTGCTGAATGTTTTCTCACATGGGGCCACCAACTTCTTCCTCCAGCCGCTGCCATGCAGACCGCCCTAAAGGGCTGCTCTCATCGGGGTGTCCAGCCCACGCAGCCGAAGAGCACCAGCGAGCCCCAGCCACGGAAGGAGGCCTCTCCCCTTTCCTCCTTCGTTGCTCTCTGTAAGGAGACAGAGCAAGAAGCCCAGGATCTCAAACACAGATCTTGTCAGGCTTAGCCCGACAACCAGCCTGAAGTTGTGCCATCAGCTCTTTTCTTTTACAGGAACGTACAGGACTCCTCTGAAGCACGGATGACCCCTCACACGCTCACAGAGGGGAAGGGAGGTTCGGTTTGGTAGCTTTGGAGAGACCACAGGACTCCTCTGATGAAGGATTCAGAAACCAGTGAAACCACACGTACAAAACCAGCTGACGCTCTGCACTACAGCGCAGCCCCATTTCTCAACACCACTGGACTTCAAGGGCTTGTACCTACCTCAGGTGCCCCAAGCTGTAGTACCGCGACTCTCCATCCGTTGACCGAACTACCTTGACAGTGAACATGGGCTGCAGCTGCCGCAGCTCCAGCAGCACGATGGCCAGGTAGTGAATGAAGAGCAGGGCATCCACCAGAGACACCGCGTACTGCACTATTCCTTGGTAGTTCGTGTCCTTCGAGTCCAAGATGCGAACGCCATAAAAGAGCCAGTAGGAAAACACAAACAGGAATATGAGGACCAACAGAAGGGCCCGAAACACAAACACCCTCGGTACATCTGCCTTGGGCTGGCGGAAAAACAGAGCCCAGGTCCCAATCAGAAGAATGAGGAGTTTAAACGCCACAGAGATGAACAGTCCCTCACAGACAGTACCACAAGGCTCCAGATCATCCCGCCACAGGATCTGGGGTAGCAGAATGAAGGCGATGGGGGTAAGGAAGACAAGGAGTCCAAGAACAGCTGCCACTGTTAAGCCCAGGTAACGTTTGCAGTCCAACCCAACGCTGTCCTCCAGATCCTTACTGATCCGGGCAATGTCCTCCTGGGAAATGCTGTGCTCAGAGGTGCCTGTGATTGCTGTTGTGGTCTCACCCCAGTTGTCGTCCTGAGGGAGGAAGAGATAAACAAAAATAATACTGAAACAATCAGGTTATTCCTTCCAGGTCTTCTACTTATCTTGCCTGAAAAGAGATTGCTACGACTGACTTCAGTCCCAGAAAAAAAAACAAAATAGCAAAATCAACGCTGTCAATATATTTAATAATCAACCCTGAAAACAAGCAAAGGTTTGGAAACAACAGCAACTTGCCCAAACCAGTGACTATAAACATGAGGTGTTAAAAACCTGTAACCGTAGAGCATGTGGCTCAACTTGCTACGCTGCTCATTGTACCCCAGAGGTTCCTCTTCCAGCACACTTAACGAGTAATATCACATAACTCTTGGAAACTGCAGTAATCGTCAGTTCCCATGTGCAGGGCAAGGGCTAGCACTCCTCCAGCCCACAAACTCCGCAGTGCAAGCGCACCACAGAATCACCTGGAAGGGAAACTTTCCTTTCAGTGTTTCAAGCCAGTTGTTGTTGTTACACAATCAAAAACATGTTCACACATTATTTTCCCAGCTGTAACAGAAGCAACCGCACTTCCAGCAAGTTCCTCCACTGTGTTTTCTTTTCTTCTCCTCTACAGCAGAGCTGCCCTCAATAGCTGACATTCTAATAAAAGTTTAGTTAACCCAACAAATCACAGGTAGGCACAGAGGATATTTTCAGGTATGGGACTTTAAGTTTAAAGGAACCTGGACTACCAAGCAGCTCTGGTATTAGAATCCAGGACATTGTCAGAGCCACAAAGAAGCTTACCTGAAATATAGATGCCATATAGTCAAGGTTCAGATTACATTATGTTTCTGAAAGTCTCATTTCTTCCCTAGCTAATATCAGAGGACTTCTGCAAGCTAGTTTTCCCACCCCACGATGCCTCCAATTGCTGGTTCCTGGTGCTGGCACAGCCAAAGACTTACGCTGACATGTATGGATTTGACTCACAGCTGCTGCTGGCGTGACTCATGCACATGAAGACTCCTGATGCTTCCCACAAAGACACACCAAACAGCAGCGATGCACGAGCTTTGTTGCTTGGCACCTAGCACCTTTGTAGCTGTAACACTCATTCAGAAGCGAGCCTTTTGCTCTTCCTCCTACCCTCCCGAGTGTATCTTCCTGCAGCCTGTGTCACTACTAGGATTTATGCCTTTCTCCAGACTTCTGCAGCTACACATGCTGATCAAAGCATTTTGTTTTAAAGAAACAGGCATAATTTTAAACCTTTATTCACTTCTTTAAAAGAGTTAGAGGAAAGAGTCTTCCAGAATCTTTGTGAAGGGAGTAGACAGGGGCAGCACGACTGCTTTGAACAGTGATTTAACTTCTACTGCACTCCAAGACATGGATACCTCCCATGCCTAGAGCAGTAGGGTTTTGAGACAGACCAACCACAGTCAGCATCTTGAATTAATGAGGGTTTTTTGAGTCACTTCTCACCAAAACAGAGGCCCCAGAAGAGATATCTGCATTGTAGTATATCCTAAAAGGCAGAATAGTCCTATCACATTTCTCTCTTTGCCAGTGTTTCCAGTAAAGCAATCTAAGCATTTCAACTATTTGATGTTTATGCATGAAATAGCTCTGCATAGCTTCTTCCATTTGATGAGCTGAGAAACTGTGCAGAAGAGAGAAGGGACAGAAACAGCACAGCAGCTTAAGGCTACAGCCCTGAAGACAACAGGCAACCCTAGTCTCAGTCTACCCCTTGTAACAGTTCTTCCCACTTGAAGTGGCAGAAACAAACAAAAAAAAAATGTGCAGTTATATGCAAATACAAGTCTAAATCTCTAGAGGTACAAAGTTGCTGGACACAACCCACAGCACCCTGCTCCCTAGGGGAAAAGTCTTGCTCGTGCATCAACTTATGTTGCTTTGGCTTTAGTTCACATTGAGGAGGTCTGCATAAAAAAAAAAGGGCTTAAAAATTCACCAATACCTTTAGATCTATTTGAAGTAATAGCTGCGACTCAAGAAAACAAGCACCTGAATACAAAATACCAAATGGCAGTACATGAAGTGGGCCCACCTGTAGCTACAAGAATACGAAGTACTACCACACACAGTTTGGGTGGAAACTGGGCACTGATTTCTTTCTCAAAGGGCAGAAGTAGAGCCCCACATCCGAGGATTAATACACCCCAAATCCAGCCCAGGAGGCACTGAAACACCCTGCACTCTATGTCTTGCAGCATCAGCCGTTCTTTCAAAATGAATATGCACCTTCACATCAACTGCTAGAGCAGGGAGAGTGCTGGATCCATCCTAGGTGCAACCTACACCCAGCGTTATTTCATTATTTATTTAACCCAATGTTAATACACCAGCTTTCACTGAGTTCACCCTCTTTCCCAGTTATTTTGCACTAGTTTTAGATTTCTTGCCTCCCTTCCCTACTGGGATACTGATCCTAATGTGCTCTACGCAATTATCTAAAGCAAATCCTGCTTAAAAACAGAAGTGCACATACAGGTGTAAGGGTTGACCTGAATAATACACAGTGAGATGATGACATCAGATGTTTCTATAGAGCTTGGCAGATGACGCTCTGGAGACAGAGGCAAATTAGTGCCCCAGGAGTAGTCACTGGTTCTGTCAAAAATAACGCTCTCAGAAGATGACGGAACTGATCGAGACCTTGGCTTTGTGCATGAATAAAGGGTGCCTGTAAGTAATAACTCTGCACTAACGGCATGTGAGCAACACTTATTTCCTACCCGTGTGCCGGTAAGTCATATGCTCTGCTCCAGAAACCACACTCCACGTTTGCTTTCGCTCCCTCCTTACCTGGCCCTCCTCTGCCCGAGAGGCATCGTTCCCAAGCAGCGGCTCTGCAGGAGGCGTCTGGATGGTGACCGACTTCTCAGACCGACTGCCATCTTTGCTGCGCGGCGATTTGTGCCTGTCCCGACTCCTTTTCCAAACAGAGCAAGAGGAGAATAGCGTTACCAGCTAGTTTCTGGAGCAGGGCCTGGAACCTGCTACATTTCCACTCCAAGCATTAGGTCATAGCCATGCTTGCCCACCTCTCGATCGACGCTGACTCAGTCTGTGACAAAACAAGCTTTGAAAGAGGTAGCAAGCAACCTTGCCCAGAGCAGCCTACAGCCTGGTGGCTGGGACAGCCTACCCTCTCAGTAACTGAAGAGGGGAGCAAAGGAGACAGGCGTACATCCCCACCACCTCATCTGCTCTTAAAACAGCTTCTGCCAGTGCTGCACTTGAAAGGGAAGCTTGCGGTCTCCCAACAACTGGTAACTCCATCTGGGATTAATCGGTCTACGCAGCCTTCCACCTGCAATAAAGCGTCTCACAGGAAGATGTTCAGTTAAAATTGATCAAGACTGCTTTAGTTCCTGCAAAGTAGAGTCTTGTCAACTAGGACCTTAATGTTGTAGGACAATTGGTGAAGTTTATTTCCACTGATTAATAACCCCCAGTTAACCTCTTACAAACGCAGCAAGAACATCAAGGGTATCAGGGTAGTGCTTACTTCCAGAGTACCCTTGTAGACCTCACAGCTTCTCACCTGGGAATGTCTCAAGATGAGTTAAGCCCCACTAATCTGCTCACCAATATTTCCCTCCCCCTTCCTACCAGGACAGGCAAGCAACCTTTGCACCAGAGACCCTCACTGCGCTCAGGGACCAGCCTAAAGCTCGGGAGCTTCCCCTGTCCCAGCTCTGCTCTCTCTCCATTGCATGTCTCTTGGAATTACCAAAGCCTAAAGGTTTCATGGGATGAGACTTTTTCCCATTCACAGTAAGAGGCTCTAGGATTTTGTATGCTGTTTTGGGAACTTCGAATGCATCTTTCCACACAGCGTTATAAGCTTCAAAGGGCAATCCATATTGGGGGCAGGGGTGTTAAAAAAGAAAAGGAGAAAAGGCAAACAAGAGATGTTTGTAACTCAGTAACTGGACTGTGAGCAAAAAGACTTAAATTTCATGGAAGAATTATGTTTCCAGCCACACAGGATAATGGCTTCTGAAATGCAAAGTTATTTGGGACAAGCTCAGTTCTAAGTTGCAAAGACTGTAAGTGGCACACATTTTGCATGTAAAACAACGATGATGGAAGGGAAAAAAGGATAATGTTGCCAAGTAATCAGAAGTTTTAGAGCAAGATGGTTTTTGAAGCTGCTGAACTACCACAACAGAGAGGACTTGCTATTCAAGTTCAGAAAAGTCTGGCTTCTAATCCAATCAATGCTGATAAAGGACTTGTTGTGGACTCAAGTACCACTCAAATTCTATTAAAAAACCCAGGACACCAGGGTAGCCAGGAGGAGGTGGGGAGAGATAGGAAGTGTTATTGTTATACAGTAAAGAAATGGCATTAGAAGAGAAAACAATCGGCAAATTTCAGTTTAGGAAGTCTGACACATCTTCTCCCCAGAGACTCTATTCAACCCTCCTACTTTAACAGCAGAGTTAAGCAATCTTTTCCTTCTGCCGGCGCTCTCCCAATCTTTCTGGCCACACATGACCCCAGCGCTCATCCAACAGCTTGAGTATCATTAAATTAGCAGCATTATTGCTTCCAGTCTCCTCACAGAGTTCCTTACGAGAACTCTCCACATCTATTTCCTCCAGAGCTGTGGCCCCACTGATTTCATCCTAGCTTACAAATTTTATTTTTTTTTTCTACAGGACACGTCCTAGCTTAGAGAAGCAAGTAACTAAAAATACACATTTCCTTACCCTTGTCTGTGGGCTTTTTTGGAGTGACCTGAGTAGTGGGAGTACCCCGAATATGTTGATTCCGTATCCATTGCAGCAGACATCGGATCTACACGGAAGGGGCGAAGATTTTACTTAGAAGATGAGTTCCTGGTGCTCCTGAGGTGGAGTCCGTGGTGAAAGTGCTTTTCTGGGTTCTCTTTTCTTTGCCTCTCAGTCATCCGTGAGGTCTGGTCCACAGGGAGCGAGTGAGCTTCATTTACAAGGAATCCCGTCAGAGGGGAGGGAAGGAACTGTGCTCAGCTCCTCATACTCGACCTATGGAAAGAGAAATGGGCATGCAAGTGCACTCTAAGCAAAGCAAAACAGCATTCCTACCGTGGCGATTCCCTCACCCTGGCCACATGTCACCACTCCTCACGTTGTGCCCGATTTGCAAGCTTGTCCTGGCCAATATCTCACTTTCCAGTCTAGAGAAATACGTGCACTTGTAGAGCTTTAAATAAGCTGATAATATATCTCTGTTTTGCAAAGTCTAGCCCAATTCATCTCAAAATCCAGACGAAATGGTGTGACCTGGAAAAGACAGTGACTTGGAGAAGGCTCCACAGTGTAGACACAGAAATTCGCCCCCAGAAACAGCACCGGACTCCACTTCCACACCCCCACCTCTTCACCTGTGTGACGCACAGCCCACACACCTCCGCATCCAAATCGGCAGCATTACAGCATATATAGGGGGAAGGGGTGGGGGGTGAGGGCGACTTGCTCAGGAGAAATGCAGGAGAGGATCAGACCACCACGTCTGAAGCTGCTTTGTTTCCACAAGTGCAAGGTGTGCCCATTTTACAAGCACTAGTTGCTGCACAACCAATCGCACTAAAAGCACCTGCGTCTCTTCATAACCTTTGCCTCCAGAAGCTAATTTGGGCCTTGAAGAATTAAATTTTATTAAAAATTGTATCTATATATACACATACTAACAACACTGAGGAGAGCTGATGAGAGATCACGTCTAGCTTACACAGGCCAACACTTCTTGCAGCGTACTTCCATTTGGAACAGCAGCTGAAGGCCCATCCACAACGGGCAGAAGAGGGCCATGTTTTTTGGGACAGGAGCAGGGTGACATCAGAGCAATTCCCGACAGCGACACCTCAAAAACTCTGAACCTTGCGGGGAAGAAAGGCAGAAGCCAAGCCGCTTTCCAAACCCACACCCCGCGCGAGGCGAGCGGACAGACGGAAAGGCGGGGAGTCGGTCACCCGTTTGGGGAACGCGTGCGAACGGCGACGCGGTGCAGGCGGAGGCACCCGGGCACAGCCCAGCGTCCGGCACGCAGAGCCTGCTCACGTGCCTCCTGCCCAGCCGATCGCTGCCTCCAGCCAGCACCGGTGCAACGGAGGGCTGCAGCCACGCTGCACTTTCAAAGTGGGCAAAAGACCGCTCTGAAATTAAATTAGATCCCTCCATTATTTCCTGCTCACAGCAGTTTTCAAAGCTGTTGGCAATAAACCACTGCTTTCCACCCTCTCCCTCCCCAAACACAGAGGGACAACAACAGAAGTCGGGCTTTACACTTGGCCAGCTTTTCTTGCCAGCCATCAGATTCCTCCACTAACACCTCCAGAAAAGCCTGCAAGCAAGCAGAGAGCTCTACCACACGCAAGCAGTGCCAGAGAACCAAGTCTTCTCTCCACAGGGTTCCTTGGCTGGCGGCGCAATCTCCGCGGAGGACGTAAAGCAGCGTTCCCGCTAGTGCATCGGGAGCTGCAGGTATTTGCACAACGCTTGGGCTTGCCAGGACTCTTGGAAAGGAGAAGGCGGGACGGGGGCGACCTTTTGTGTACTGGAATTCCCAAGCACTAAGGGCACATTGTGCCCTGAGAAAGCTCCTTAAAGGCAGCCCAGAATCTATGGAGGACAAACAACTGGGAATGAAAGGCCTGGTTTGGGGAGGGGAGGAATGAGGATGAATTTAAACACAGCAAGACACAAAGCCAAGGCACGGCACAGTTTGGAAAATGGCATCATTACTGTAGCAGGAATAAAAATCCCCCAGCCTGGGACACATGATGTTAACACTCGTTAACTCCCTAGACTTGCACGCAGCCTGCGCTTATGGCTCCAGCAACAGGCTGGGACTCATTAAACCCGATTTTTACCTCTGTCCTGCCAGGCAGCCTTGGAAAAATCCCTATTCTGTGTCTGTCCTTCTCCAATAAATGGAGGTGAGGCCACCACCCCCCTTGCCTTCAAAAAGCACTGATACCAATATAAGAGATGGCTACCCAGGACCTTACAAACCAGGAACACCCTCAGCTGTACAAAAGGTGGTAACAAATATTATAGACTTAAACCACTGACTGTTTGTGATGTTACTGGAGTCCCCTGGAGAAAAACTACTAACTTCAGAAACACATACCACCCCATTACAGGAATAGTGAAAGGAAGGAGAGCTGTCGGCATACATCAGTAAGAAAGAGTTACACATTTTTCCTAGGCTTTTAGGAAAGTATCAACTCCCAGCCTTTTCCTCTAACCACATAACAGAATTTCCCCCCAACTCCCAGACAGAAGAATGAGAGCCAAGACAGGGACCGGGAACAGAGCTCCTGTTCTGACCTCTCTCACTCCCAGTAGCATGGTCACACTTCCTTGGAGATGTCGGAGAACATTTCAGCAGGTAGAGGCTGCTGTGGAAATGCAGGAACCGCAAACAAGCAGTGCCCATCTGATGGTGGGCGAGGCCAGGCAGCGCTGGGCACCAGGCACAGAAAGCAGACTCATGGGAAGACCAACACAAGAACATAAGGCAGGCTGGATCATGCCAACTTTCATTTTCTGTGTAAACATGACCAACAGTTTTGACACAGCTCTGTGAAAAGTCAACATGAAGGGCCCCAAAAAACGTTAAGCTTCCTGGATTGTTGTCAAAAGCAACACGATGAACCTGGGACCCTGCACCACCTCCTGGCCCTAGCTGCAGGATACACTGGTGGCTAAACTGACCTTCCCACCAAGGTGGCTACAGGGCTTCTGGGAACAAATTATTTCTGCCCAACTCCAACTGGAAAATGCACAAGACCACTAGCCCAACTGAGGCTGATCTTCAGCAAGGCTTCCTTGATTTGGCCAGCAAAGGATAGCCTGGGCTGCTAGCTAGACACCACTCCCAGTCCGAGCAGAGATGGAGAAACTGAGGAAGGAGGAGCACAGTCCACACACACACTCCTCATAGCCAAGCCAAGCAGGTTACCTACCCCCCAGTCTATTTTACAGCAGGAAGGAGACCAGCCTTAACCCAGAAAAGCTTCTGGAGCTACTGGGGAGGAGGCAGAGAGGGAACCAAAAGACAAATAACATGCTAAACTACGTCTCCGGGTTGCAGCTCTTTCAGTGGCATAGGCAGAAGTCAACCACGGATCAGCCACCACCCCAACAGTGCCCACCACTAGAGCCTGAGCAAAGTTAGAGAAGAGAAGTTGTAAGTGTATCCTACATAGCACAGCCATACCCAGACTAATAAGCACAGCCTTTAAAGACCTCCACTACTAAACCACTATTAATGATGATTCTTACCCCACCCCTCTGGGCAAGGACAACTGCGCTGCCTGAAGAAGCAGTCCCATCATCTGAAGCCTCATCCCTCCACAAACAACTGGGAATTGAGAGCCAAATTTAGCCAACTGAAACGGCTTCACAAAAGATCATTACATCTCGCAGGACGCTGCTGAAGGCACGGTCTGTTTGCAGAGCTTCTGGCCCTGTGTGAAAGCAAGCTCCTTCGGCCTGAGGGTAGAGTTGCACTGTATTTCAGCACTGACAAGAAAGCTGGTGTAAGTAGCTTCCACCTCCCCACCACGGTTCACCACTCTCGGTTGTGTCAACACACGTCTCGGCGAGCAAACAGCACCGTCGGGAAAACAAAGCAACAGAAAAATCCCTTTTCCCCCCCTCTCGCCACGCTTTTGTCTTGGATCCTTTCCGTGACCTAGTTCACGGCACAGCCCCAAGGAGCAAAACCAAGACCAGTGTGAACAGCAGCACGAGCGGCCAGCGAGAGGGGAGACGGGATGGCCTCCCCCACTGACACCGACACGCTGCGGAGCCGCACGCCCAGCACTTCGCTCCCGGCGGGGCTGGCACTCCCACTTCGCCTTTCCTGTGCTCACCAACACAGAAGGATGCCAAGTACCAGATGGAAAACAATGCTAAGGACGCCCCGAAGGAAATTTTGGGACCATATTCCAGCAAGCAGGATGTCTGCGTCCTGCATGACAGCAGAGAAACGCAGTTAACCCCAGAATACCGCAGAGATCACTGTAATTACAGTTTCTACGCAGCTACACAACTCGTTGTAACTCCCTCTTTTCATACAACCATAAATCTCCAAAAAGAGCTCTTTTGAATCACTATTTTCCATGCTGGAAGCCCAATCCCGTTTCCAATGAAGTTCGCTTTGTGATCGTCTTCAAGGGAGCACAATTTGGCTCCCAGCCCAAGGGGAATTTAAAAGAGCAAGTTACATCTTTAAATCAAAGAGGGAAAACGCAAACAAGAGTGCTCTTTTACATCCCATGCTTTCCCGAAGAATTTTCCCCTGTGAAGTCGAGGCAAATAACTCCCAGGCTGCTCAGCTTTGAAATCCTTGTCTGTACGGTTTCAGTCTTACCCCATTTAAAGCTTGCAATCAATTAGAGTTGATTTACCAGTCGGTTCATGAAGTTACATATATTTGGAAGTGCCATCTGGAGCACAAGCAGCCACAAGCGTCCGCGAGGACGCGCGTGCACTCGGCTCTGTGCGTTGTCGGCCTCGCTTGTTAAACTGCACCAGCTGTCTATAGGGTAACGGATGCCCACGAGCTATCGCGCCGAGAAATCTTTTTCTCTTCGTTTAGTGAAACGAAGAGCTTTACAAATTAAACACACAGAACCCCAAGAGCTAAGCAAGGGGATAGTGTTAGGGTTCGAGGGCAAAAATAATTAAAAGGTGGCCAAGCAGCGAGGAAGCCTTCCAACTCGGCTGCACGCTACAGCTGCAACGTATTCCTATTATTCACCTCAGAAAAACGAGACAAGTTACGTAACTTGCTACGTTGAACTGCATATATAGTAAGACCTATGAGCAATGCCACAGGAACCCTTTGCTTTTGAATTTCCTGAGCAGGCCCCAATCCAGCAATGTGATCTGTAAGCACAGAAGTCCACTCATGCTAATCTACTCACGGAGCCAAGGCTTTCAGTTTTAACAGCCAACGAGCTTTGGGAAACAAGGTTTTTCCAAAAGCTTTCTACTTATTTTTGCATGTCA